ATGAGGCCCAAAGGCGATGGCTCCAGGCAACGGCTGGGACATTGCAAGGAAAGAAGTGGACTACAGACACGCACACACGAAGAGAGAGATACATATAAATATAAATATATATATAGATACATACATACATACATATACATACATATACATACATATATATACACATATATATATACTGCGAATAGAGTGTAAGCTACGGACCATTGTACAATATCATATAACTCAACACACTAAGATCCACGGCCAAAGGGTACGACAATCGCCCTTTTGGCTCAAGACCCACTGCAGCGCCAGAATAAAGAATTGCCATGCAGAAGCCGCCACCCTCGTGACGTCATTGCCGAAGTATCTACCTCACAACCAAGTACCAGGACATAATCGGACAAACAATCCCCGATTCTCAGGTTATCAGCCGTAGGACTCCTACGGAGCCTACGAGCGGGTAGCCGCGGGCCTTACAGATGACTGAACAGTATAGCAGCGATAATGCATTTTCTTTCTTTGGACATGCCGTTGCACCAGCTGCCGGCACGCAGTCAAATTCTTCACAGAGTATCGACACTGGTGGAAGCGATGCCTCAGAACTGAGAACAAGCCTACCCAGGCGACCTCTGGTTGCTCCTAGAGGGAGACAAATTTCGACAATGCAAGCAATTGAAGATAGGGACAGCACACCTGGAAAGAGAAGATCATCTGCACGACAATTGTCGCCTCCGATGGCTCCAAGGACTAAGGCAAAGACTACGTCGTCGAATCCGCCTTCACCGATTCAGGACGCTACTCCATCAGGGACAGGATCTTATCAGCAAGTGAACGCCCCATCAAGTGGTAGCGACATCTTCACTGCCTATCAGAGTGAATTAGCTGAATACAAGACATCACTGGAAAAGGCCACTGAAGAAGAATCCATACTTCAGGCAAGATTATCCGAGACGACAGCTTATGCCTATCAACAATTTAATTTCCTGGAAAGCACCACTCATCAAGAGATGATGTCGATGACCGAACAACTCCAGATGCTAATCTTCGAGTTACAGGCTGCACAACAAGAAGATGAAGGTGCGACCTACAGGATCGAAGAGTTGGAAAGGTATCAGACTATGTCGAATGAAGCTGCATCTCATTTGGAATTCAAATATTCACGACTACGTTCGGAATTCGATGAACAAATGGGACAAGCGAGCGCAATTATGGTACATGTGGGCGCCGATGCGAATGCTCACATCAATCAACTCAGACTGGAACTGGAAAACGCAGAGATGAATGCCAAGCAGGAAGCTCTAGCGGTCGGCTACGCCAATGATCAAACATGTGCTTTACAGATCGAGATGCTCGAGGTTGCCAATCAAAATCAGACAATGAAGCACACCATGTCCATGAACGTTAGACGACTGGAAACTGAGCTTGATGCTGCTGACATGAAGAGGGATGAGATCATGAAGGAGTTCCGTAGTAACATAAGATCTGAACATGACCGTTATGCAGAATGTGAACATCACTTAGCTTTGGAAGAATCGCAACTTCGATTGCAGGTGATCCACAATGAAAACTTACAATCTCGACTAGCGATTTCTGAGAACAGGGTTTCTGAACAATCTCTAGCTGAATCAGGCGGCATGCGGGACATGAGGATCATGGGACTACGTTCTGAACTACACATGAAACAAAGTCTTTTAGATCGGATGCAACAACAACTGACTGAATCGAAGAATCAGTATCATGAACTTTCCTGTCAACAAGCCAGAAGATCATCGCCAAGCAGATCACCGCATGGAGGACCACTATACGAGATGTATATGCAGGCCGTGCGTGAGCGTGATAGCTTGAAAGAATCCAAGGCTGAAGTTGACAAGTTGTACTTGCAGAACAGAACTGAACTCATTGACACTGAGGGCCTGCTCAAAGTCTTCCAGCGAAACTTCGATGAAACTGGTAAGAAATATCAAGATGCTCTGAACAAGATCGATCACATGAGCAACAATCCGAATGTGACGAGTGATTTGTTCGACAGTTTGCATAATGAAATCAATGACAGGGACACAGCTATTGCTCGCCTTCATACTGAACTTGAAGCCCAAAAAGATTCTCTTGAGCGTGCTCACAGGGATGCAGGTAAGTCCATCAAGATGTTGAACGACAGAAGACTCGTGATCAAAGGTGCGACTGACTATTCCATTCCTGAAAGCCACTTGACTGAGATGCATCAATTGGCCAATGAGCGTTTCGCTGAGGTAGAAGAGATGTCGAGCACTATTGCTGCCCTGAAGTTGGAAAATCAAGCCCATTCTTCTTCATCAAAGAATAGACCGACTACATTACATGGGTACCCCAGTAATGCTATGCCTCGGAATGAATGTGAAGAGAAGTGTGCCAAACTGAAAGCAGAGTTGGACGAGATGAAGCAAGAGAAGAACAACGAAGTTCGAAATCTTCAAGATGAGTTGAAGAAGATGGAAGATCGGAAAGATTATTACAAGAACAATTTCTCTCAAGCTGAAGATCGCGCCAACGATGAAGAGCAGGAATACCGAGCAGAAGCTGAAGCCTTCGAGAAGCTCAGGAACGAGTACAACACCAATGTCAAGGAGTTGGAGAACCTTGAAAGGGATAGATCCAAGTCATCCGTATCTCTAAGAGAAGCAGAAAAGATCAGCCTCCAACCCTGGCCTAAGACCACTGAACTTTCATCCTGGAAGGGAAGTGTCGTTCATGAAGTTTGTGTTGCAAGTGGAGATCGAAACTATGAAGATTGGAAAGCGTGGCTAGCTCCGTGTCTTGCAGATCAACCTGACTTGGAGGTCCTGGCCAAAGCACCCGATGTGAGATTCCAATCCATTGATGCCAAGCTCTCCAATGCCTTGAGGAAAGTCATTGACAATGCTGGGGACAAGTCCATGCAAGTGAAGTATGACATGTCCATGAAGAACCAATTGTATGGGAGAAGCGGGGACTTCATCAAGGGACGAGAACTATTCGCAATGATACTGATTAGCTTCAAGTCACCTGACCATACTGAAGTTCTCTACAACGCCCATCATTTGTATATGTTCAACTACTATGGAGATGACCAGCTTGAGGCCTTCTACAACAAGTGGCTTGACATCGTATACAACATGAAACATGATGATCTGCCTTCCAACAATTCCCTGCGTGACACATTGTTCCGGAAGATTGAACACTCAAAGCTTATGGCCTTTGATATCAACCGATACAAAACCTTTGATGAAGGGCATCCTGAAAAGACCTATGTTTACCTAACTGGTATGATCAAAGGATACATAGCAAGAGGAAAGCAAGAACGACTGTTGAAAGATAGAGAACGTGCAGTGAAACTGTCATTGTCCTCTAACAAGACGACACCTGCCTTAGAAGATGCAGACAAGCCTGCCGCTCCCGTCAAGACCAAGAAGGAGAATGAAGCAGCTGCATCGTCTACAGGTGATCCTCCCAAACGGCCTAAGGCGAAAGCGAAGAGTGAAGCTGCATCTGTACTTCCTACACCTTCTCCGAAATCTCATGCCGACAAGAACAACAAGAAAGGCAAAGGTGGGAAGGGAAGATCATCTTCACCCGTTGACAAAAAGAAGATTTTCTGTAACTACTTCTTCAATAAAGGAGGATGCAACAAAGGCGACAAATGTCTTTACAGTCATTCTCAGAAGGTCTATGATGCCAAGATGAAAGGTAAGAAAGGCAGAAGTGGAAGTCGAGATTCATCAAGGGGAAAGAGTAAAGGAAGTTCATCTTCAGCTGGACCCAAAAAGAAGGTATGTTGGAATTGGCAGAAGGGTACCTGCACGTTTGGGAGCAAATGTAAATTCCTACATGCAGACCAATCGCCTTCAGCATCCTCAGAAAGAACCAGCAAGAAGACACCAAAGAAGAAAGCGACTCCCATTACCATTGACTCCTTCTTTGACAGCGACAATGAAGATTCTATGGATTATACCTCACCGAGGATAGCCAGCGCAAAGAAGTCTTCTGATGTTCGCAGAATCTCTTTTGATCTGGAACCTGAAGTGCACGAGATTGCAGTTGAGAACTACCAAGAGGGACTACCCAAGCGTATGTATCGTGACCCCAACAAGCAGTATGTCTTTTGGAAGGTCGATGATTTGACCGACGATCAGTCCAAGTCAGACAACACACTTGGTTCAGTTCGAGCACGGGCCAAAGCAATCATCATGGACAGATGTGGACTCCATCGTTTTGTTGATGAAGTTGGAATCATTATTGGCCCCAAGTTCGACATGTTGATCAAGCTGGACAATGATCGTGATGACTTGACTTTTATTGAAGAGCTTGTCGAGCACGAAGTTGGAAACTCCCTCATGAAGTCCAAGAACATAATGTGCATTTCATTACCAGTACAAGCCAAAGATCGTAGATTCATCCTGGATTCTGGTAGCGGACACGATCTGATTTCTGCAAGGAAAGCCGAAAGGATGAGCCTGAAGCAACGAACTTGTGATCCTATCATGTTCCACACCGCCAACGGTTCAACTGCTACTCAAACGGAAGCGGAGATTGACCTGGGAACCTTTGATGTGACCTCTCATGCTTATGTGCTGGACGACACTCCGTCCGTGATGTCTCTTGGGAAACGATGCATGGAAGAAGGATACTCCTTTGTATGGCCATCTGGTCAAATGCCTTTCATGATTACGAAGAATGGAGAACGCATCGATCTGACAATCCATGACAACATCCCCTACGTTGATCTTGGAACATACGAATGCACTCCTCATGAATGCCATCATGCATCAAAGATCCATGACCTATTGACACATCCTCAAGTCGGATTCAATGGTTTCAACGACATTGATGATGTTGGTCAACCCTCACGAAGAGTACATCTCGATGGAGAAAGTGGCCTCGAGACATCGACTGAGGATCACAACTGTTCCCGATACGTCAAGAAGCTCAAGGTGAAGAAGAAGAGAAGAGCAATGAACCGACAGAAACATTTGGCAACTCCTGGAGAAGAGGAAGAAGAACCACCTGAGGGCGGCGAGTACGAACCCGGAACTCCGCTTGACGATCCTCCT